ACACATGCGGGCACACGCATGGTGGGTTACACACAAATTGTGCTAAATCAAATTCAATATAGAAATTGAATTAGTGAACATTATCAGATAATGACGACGCCTACGACGACGATGATGATGACGTCGACGGTGTGGTAACAAATTTTTGGTCACACATACGAAACGTTCTCAAATTTTTTGGGTGCGTGTATGTATCATCAAACAACCTTTGACACTGATAAAGTTGCGTGTATGATATGTGGAGAATGTGTAAATGCACATATGTGTGGTTGCTGAATACTATAATAGCAAAACCCTTTAAAAGTAGCAAAAGGCTAATCAGCAAATAACAGGATTTTTATTGTCTGCGAAACAATAAAAACAGACATAGTTAAAAACAAGTAAGCAAAGGCTATAGTCGTGCGGGGCCGACCATGTGATACCCTACAACACTACAATATGTTAGAAGCCCCTTTATGCCCAAATCCATTTTGGAAGATTTCGCGTTTAAAATTGCGTCACGGAGCACTGACCACATATTACCCTTACAATTTTCGCTAGGGGCATTTGCCCAACATTTACGTACTCCGTCGTGCTGTTAGGTGTTGTGGTCCATTTTTCAGCTAAATATAATCCAATGATCATCCAAAATGCTAGAATTCCCCCTGCTCCTAACTCTATTTTCAGACGTGTCGATTGGCTGCAATTGTGTGATCAGGAAATTTTTTCTGGGTCATCTATATGATTTGCTTGTCTACGATATTTGGCTATAATCGTCAAAAAAATCAGCATAAAAAAGCCAGGTGTTCGCCTTTTCCGTATTTCGGATATCGCCTGTAAATAATGTTCGTAATTTTTTACACAATAGCAGTGGTGCATTCCACACGCTTCCGCTTACAAAATATTAAAAGTCAAATTGAAACAAGTAAGCAAAGGCTACAGTCTTCAACGAAATCAGCGTTAACGAAATAGTCAGAAGTGCGTCTTTCCTGTAATTTTGAATTCTCCAAAAAGTCTCTGGAATGGACATTTTCGTATTTTGTCTACAAAAGTTGGCTTTTGCAATGTCCGGTAACACCCATTCAAATGTGCGTGAGGATCGGGCGATAGTTACGGCCTGCTGACAATTTTGCAGTTTTGTTGGTCCATTTCAACCCCTAAATATATGGCGATCATCTCCAAAAAGAGTAGGCTTCTATTTTGACCCTCATCTTATCACCATGCAAAATTTCGTAAGGATCGGGTGATAAATGCGATCTGTATATGATATCCTGATATCCTAACTACTTAGTTTTGTTAGCTGTAGAAATATTACCAAATGTTTGATTCAAAATTAAAATATGCCAAAAATATGACAAAATTGAAAAAATATGAGAAAATTTTAAAAAATCAATATTTTCATCATTAGAGAGATATTTTTATGCGATTTTTTTAGACGTTTTTTCTTTCCTGCCAAGAGGCCATTCTGAATTAATCAGAACTGTCGAAATCAATTCAGCCGTTCTCGACATGTATGAGATCTTTCAAGCATATCTTCTTTGATAGACATATATATCGCACATATTTTGCTATATATTCGATTTTTTGGATCCTACCTTCAATGTAAAGATCAGAAGTAACCTTGTCATGGCTTTGAGATTTCGCCGGGATTTAAAATATTTGCGGTTTAATGAAAAATTTTAAATTTTTTCAACAAAAAAGATATGGTCTATTTTGCCCGCTAAATATTATCCGATGACCACCCAAATTGGTAGGCTTCTTCCCCGCCCTAAACTCTAGCTACGTGCGAAATTCCGCGTCGATTGGTCTATAATTGCGACCTGTATAGCTACTGCAAAATCCGACATTTTTTCAGTATTTGGTACATTTCTATTCTGACCCTAACCCCACCTTCGTGCAAAATTTCGTAAGGATCGGGCCGTAATTGCGACCTGTAGCGTGATTACAAATTAACATGGACAGACGGACAGACGGACGGACGGACATACATAGCTAGATCGACTCAGCTCGGCGAGATAGGAAGATCCATATATAATTTCCTATGTGGGAAATCAATATTTCGTGCTGTTACATAATTTTTGGCCCAATCAAACTTATAATACCCCCAACACATAGTGTTGTAGGGTATAACTACCCATTTATATAGTAAATGGTTGTGCGTTTCTAGTGAAATATATTCATGTGTATGGACATATTTTGACATGGGCATAGGGTTATGATCAGCGGGAATTTAATACGCTGGATTTATGAATGTTTGTGTTCTGAAATAATTTGGTAAAACGGCTATTCCGCTTTAGAATTTGATGTTTTGGATATTACTTTATATGACTGAAGTTACTTAAAAAATAATTATGGAACGTAAAGTAATATTGAATGAGCTGGAATTCTGAAATTTGGAATGAGTGTCACTGATGAAGAATAGGTGTACCAAAAGGGTTTTTGGAAATTCGAATTAAATCGGTATTACACATTTAAAATGGTACAATTTGGTTTTATGCCAACGGATAGAGCAAAAAATTTGAAAAAGTGCGACTGATACACAGGGTGAAATGAAAAAAAAATGCAACCAATTTCAGACTGCTGTCATTTCTAAGCCACTCACCCGACAGCTTTTAAAATTATTCCAGTGACAGCTCATTATACTGTTTACAAGGGTACAAAAGCATTTTGGTGAGAATTTTCCAAAAACAAGGTTATTCGTGATGGAATTCAAGCGAGATAGTGTGATTTCTTTATAATTGGCTGGAAAACAACAAGCTAGTTTGAGCACTCCAACATTTAAATGTGTATAAATCTTTTTTTTCTCCTGCCATCGCTCGTTACCGTGATACAGGTAGTGTAGCCCGACGTCAAGGAAGTGGACGAAAAAAAAATAGCAACATCAGCAGAAATGGTTCGAAAAGTAAAGAAGCGACTTGATCGAAAGCTGTATCACAGTGGCCGAAAAATGGCTTGTCAGCTGAACATATCGCAATATTCCATTCGGCAAATATTGAAAAATGAGCTCGGGGTAAAGTCATTGAAATTCCGAAAAGTGCTAGAACTTATACCGCAGCAGAAAGAAAATAGACTAAAAAGAGCTAAAGAGTTGCTTCACTTGGCCGAAAGTGGAGAACTGCCGAATTTGGTTTTCTCCAATGAGAAAACATTCATTGTCAAGCAAAATGATCGTGTTTACTTGCCAAAGAGGTCAGCTGAAAATGTGGACCTTCGGTTGCGCCGGCCATGGTGTGGGCCGCCATAACAGCGGATGGTCGCTCTCCGCCGAATATTGTCGCTAAAAAAATATTCCGGAGGGTGTATTAAAGCCTTGGGCACGCAAACATTTTGGTCGCAGACCTTGGACATTCCAACAGGACTCAGCATCATCGCTCTCATCACGCGCCACCCAAGAATGGTTACAAAATGATGTTCCTCGCATCATTTCCAGCGCACAATGGCCACCAAAATCTACGGATACAAATCCGTTGGAATATTGTGTCTGGAGTATTTTGGAAAGCAAGATTGGCACTAATACCAAAGTGTCGATCACCTCAAGCAAGCGCTTCGCCGGGAATGGGCCAAAATAACGCAGAGCAACATTCGGGCAGCGTGTGGCTGTATCATTGGCCATTTGAAGGCCATAAATCGTATTAAAGTTGACCAATTCGAACAAATTCTAAACTTAAAACAAACTTATTCTAAAATTTGATGCTATTTCCGAATTTGGTGTTGAAAATGCGTAGCATATTTGAATAGTACTAAATGTGTTATTTACTGAAGGGATAGGGCTGGAATTTCAAAATTTATATTAAGGATTCGGTTGGTATCTGGAAATGAGATGTGGACGTGAATTTGGAAATATTTTCTATTGTACGATAAGTACTAAATAGTATTAAATTTGGTATTAAATAACGGAATAGAGCTCAAGTCTTGAAATTTTATATGGATGTCATTGTTGGGGTCTGTGGTTAAGATATGAAGTTGATTTTGGAAATGTGTTCTACATTTGTTTGAAGTGGCACGAAATTGGGCATTGGGTGAAGGAATATGGCTGGAATCTCAAAATTTGAAATTGAGATCTCTGTTGGTACCTGGAATTGAGGTATGGTAGTTGTTTTTTGGAAATGTGTACAATAATTTTACGAAAAGTACTAAATAATACTAAATTTAATATTAAACGAAGTAATAGAGCTGAAATCCTGAAATTTGATATTGATTTCATTGTTGGTGTCTGTGGTTGAGGGAAAGAGCTGGTTTTGGAAATATGTACTGTAATTGTACGGAAATTTCTTAATGGTGCTATATTTGGTATTGAGTGAAGGAATAGAGTTAAAGTACAGCAGTTTGGCATTCAGATTACGGATGGTATCTGTCTTAGATTTTTGGCGGTGGTTTGGAAATGCGTGCCATATTTGTACGAAAAGTACTAAATTATATTATTTTTGTTGTTGTAGAGCGGAATTCCCACATTTGATATTAGTCTGTGTTGGTATCTGGAATTGAGACATTTAGGTTATTTTGGATTGACTCTCTTTTCGGTATTTCGATAATAATAGCGACATTTTTGAAAAGAATTGTTTTAAATTTCGTCTTTGAAGGTCCAACTGCATACTACAGCCTAGGACGAGAAATTGTGTATGCATGCCCTCGTCTTCGTATAGCCTCCATATAACGGGTATTGTTTAAACGATACTTTTATACGGCATTTTTTAACGATTTGTTTTAATTTTTCCTGTTCCTTCCAAATGGTGGAGGGTATAAAAAGATCGGCCAGAACACTTCGTTCCTTCTTATATGTGTTTTTGGGTAATTTATAAAATCAGTTTTTTTGTCCAATGTAGCTACACACCAAAAAAATAGTCTCAAAAGAAAATCAGAAACATCCATATACTTAATAACAGAGAAAAATGCATCCACCTTTACAAAGAGAATAAATCTACAAATCTGAAATACAAAGAGAATAAACCTTATTCTACTTAAAAAACAATCGCATTACGCAAGTGTGTAAACATTTTTCTTCAACCGTAAATAGCACTTACCTTTTTCGTGAAAATCTTATCCTCCATAAGTCTTCCAGACGACTTAGAATTTGTTTAAGAATGAATCTGTAAACAAAAACAAGAATATGACAACGACGAAGAAAAGAATAAAAATTAATTAAAAATAAACACATAAATGAATCTTTAACATTTTTCTAAGAACACTTGGAAAAGGACACTCATTTAAGTGGTCACTTGATGGAGAAAAACCCAATTTCAATTCATGCCCGTGACCCTACCCTTTCATCCTCATCTGGGTTGGCATTTCTTCTAAATGTCTTTTGGCTAATTAATACAATCTCATAATGTGAAACACTTAAAAGATGTTTACGTAAACAAAAAGGAAAATGAAAGAACCCAAATTATAATAAGAAAGTAGCTAAGGGACGAGAAATAAAATATGATGCAAAAAAAATTAGGGAAAATAAACAACAACAAATGAAAAGGTCATCAAAATTGTTTTGGTCGAAAAATAGTTTATTTCCTAACTGCTTAGTTGTGCGTATTTTGTAAAGAATAAGAAGTTCTTCGAATTGTGAGGGTTAAAACTATTTTCATAACACCAACTATTTTATCTTCAATAAAGATGAGACGTAAGAGTATATGAAGAAATTAAAGAAATTTCATTGAAAACTGCTATAATTTCTAAAAAAGTTTCCTGAATTATTGATATACCCTCCAATATAGAAACCATGTGTTAAGGAGCATTCCAATCTATAAATAGACGCCTACCACTATATTTGGCCATTTCTTTTGAATTAAAACGTCTTTACAACGACTATGCTACATAGTCCAATATTATAGCAACACTTATGTTATTTTACACATTTGCTTCCATGCAATCGCCATTGACACACAACCTCAAGCCTAGAAAAAGGTCATTTTGTCTCATAAAATAGCTTCAAGTTATTTTCTTTATTTTAACGATAGATATTTAAATTCTTTTTATAATGCCGCTTTCAAATATCCATCAGTGTTAAAATGAGGTGGGACTCTTGAATAGCTGAAGAGATATCACAAAGGCCAGATTCACTTTGAGTTTGGAAAAATGTCAAATGAAAATATTTCACACCCTCAGGATTCATGTCATGACATATTTCTTGGAATTAAATAGGTTATTTACTTCCTACGATAAATAAAAGGGTAAGAATGTATGTTCTTTCGAGACGAAAACACAGATGTTCTCAAAATGAATCAGTAAGGCGGGGTCGACTGTTAGATATCCTACATCACCAAGCGTTTAATACCATACTTCACATAGTGGTTAGGGTCTTTGTGCATTTGTTATACCCTACACCGCAAGGTGGTCAGGGTATTATGTCTTTGCGCATTTGTTTGTAACAGGCAAAAGGAAACGAAGTAGACCCATAGTTCCTTTTAATGATCTACATAGAATCACATTCTGAGTCGATTTATGCATGTCCGTCCGTCCGTCTGTCCATGTATTTTTTTGAAATTTTGCAGAAATCATTTGTTTGGCCCAAAGACGAACCCTATCGTCCGATTTGCCTTTTATTGTGCACCAAACGTGTAATATCAGTCCGAATAGTATGGAATTTCACACGTACGATCAGATTGGACCTGAAAATAAGTATGCCAAATTTGATCGAAATCGGTTCAGATATAGCTATAGCTCCCAAATATATTTTTCATCCGATTTGTTATTTTTGTATTCCGCAGCCGTAATATGCACTCTGAAACAACAATATTTGAGGAAATATATCAAATACAGCTTGGAAATACATTTGCTAAATTTTATCGAGATCGGTTCAGATTTCCCCATATATAACTTCGTCCGATTTACCTTTGAATGTGCACCAAACGTCTAACATTTATCCAAATGGGATGGAATTTGGCACTTACGACCGAATTGAGTCTAGAAGCTGGTATGTAAAATTTGGTGAACATCGGTTCAGATATAGCTATAGCTCCGATATATACTCTTCATCCGATTTGTTGTATTTGTTACCCACAGCCGTAATATGTACTCCGTTACAACGATATTCAGGGAAATGTATCAAATACAGCTCAGAAATATCTTTGCCAAAATTTTATTGAGATCATTTCCGATTTGGATATAGCTCCCATATATATTTTTATCCGATTTCAAATTAATTGTGCACCAAATGGGCAATACAAATCCGAATGTAAAAGATACAAATGCTTCGGCATATTTAGTCCTTTAAACTTTAAATTATAATTATAATCATAGCGTGTATGATTGAATTCTCCCATAAAAACTTTTAATTGTTATGTGGAGCTCTACTAAATTAGCAAAGTGGTGTAGGGTATCATAAAGTCGGCCCCGCCCGTCTTTAAGACTTTCTTTACTGGTTTGTAACATGGAGAACGAAGAGAGGGATAGACCCATTGTTACTTTTGAGGAACTTCAAGAGTCATCTTATGCATTTTTGTAAAAAAATGCAGGTCGCATTTATTATACGTGAACCAAACGATCAATATCAGTCCAAATAATCTGAATTTTGGCATATTCAACCGAATTCAGTCTAATGGTTGGTACAAAATCGGTTTTATTATAGCAACAGCTCCGTGTATATGTTTCATCCGATTTGGTGTTTAAGTTCCTCACATTCGTAATATGCACTCCACAACAATGATATTTGGTATCACATATCAGTTACAGCTCGAAAATACATCTGCCAAGTCCTTTTGAGATCGGTTCAGATTTTTATATACCTTCGATATACATCTTTATCCGATTTTAGGGTTATTATGTAATATCAGCCCAAATTGGATACATTTGTTCTTGTTCAAACGAATTTCTTCATTCGGTGAAACTCAGACCGGTTTTTAATATAATCCTCGTCGAAGTCATATGATGCACTATACAGTAATGTAATCTGGTGCTAGGGGCCTCCGTCAAATTTGTTGACAATCGATTCAGAGGTTTATACAGTTCCCAAATTGTGACTACTCCAAAGCCATGATACGCATTCAACTAAAGTTCATAGTTGATATGATCTACTTCAAATAAGTTCCCAATATAAACGTTTTTGTTATGGGAACTCGACTAAATACACATAATGGCGAAGGGTATCATATAGTCGACCCCGCCCAACTTTTGACCTTTCCTTCTTGTGCGAAGCTTTGCCATTTTCTACAAAAAACCGAATAGGCACTTAAAAAGAAGTCATTCAAATAAGTTGCATACATAATTTGGGCTTTGGTAAGTGACGCTTTTGCAATAGAAGAAAATTGAAAATTACTTTAAAAACAAAGTATTGAAATGCATCGTTTTTGATTTAAATTCCAAATTGTTTGAATATGCAATAATTGATCTTTATCGTATATTTAAATATCCATTGTTCTAGATAAATCTTATTAAAACAAAAAAAAAATGAAAAACTCTATATTTATATAAAACCTTTATTTATTGGATTTTCCACCACGGCGATGACTAAACCTCAAGGGGGCTATGTGTGAGTGTTAATATTCCATATTTACTGTGAACCAACTGTGATTTGAATTTGTTGAACATTTAAATGCAGTGTTAAAACCACAACTACACACAACACTCGTAATCAAAACGCACACACACATATATGGATATATAACTCACCAATGCCCATATATGTGGCTCAATAAAATATTTATGGCATTTCGAAAATAAAAAAATAATTCTTTAATTAAGGTCAGAGGGAGTGAGAGACAAAAATATTGCTTTAGGTTATCACTGTGATCTAACAAGCGTTGGATTAACAGTTCAATTTAAATAAATAATTTAATCTCTAAAAATTATCTTCACTAAGACAGCAATTTTTTTGTCTAATAATATGAATATATGCTTAGAGATGAAAAGGAAATTATGAGACACTTGAACTAAAATGTGTATACAATTGCGATTGTTTTATACAATTTCGTAAAAATTTGCTGTGTTTTATATTACAAACTGTAAATACGAAATTTGAAACAGCTCAGATAGATTATGCGGCTTAAATCATCAAAATACCGAACATCACCAGGTACCTTCAAATGAAGGTCAACAAATTCGTCGACTTACTTCTTTGAAATTATAAATGACAATGGGATCTGTGTTTGAATAAACACTGTGATCATGAGTCAAATAATTCGTAGTCTATCTATCGATAAAACAGGACAGTGGCAGGACAGCGGGTAAGGTATCGGCGACCTCAAGATCTGTTGACAGCGACCCTTTCATGAAAATTCAGATGCTGTGTCATAATCCCCATTGGAATTATGGGGTTTGTGGTCGTTTTTTTGGGGTTTGTGTAAAAAAAAAAATATTGTCATAATCCTCAGAAAGTAGTAATCCTCGAAAGTGTACTAATCCCCATTGTTATCGGTAGGCAATACCGGTTATTGCATCCGAAAGTTCGTATACAAAAGCCGGGTTTTATCCGGTTCTACAAAATCCGGATATACAAATCTATACAAAATGTATTTATCTGACTTTTTTTGTCCAACACCGCCTACGCAATCCGTAGTCTTTTCTAAGCCTTATAACTTTTGTAAGTAGCCGGCCTTCCATCGGGGCTTGAGATTTTATCATTTTTATCAACACATATGGTACCATTTTGGAAAGACAAGAGTGTAGGCTATAATTCAGTACATTAATACATCATAATGGATCCATTCTTGAATTTTAGGGAGTTCCGGAACAAAAATGCCAATTTTCTTGTATTGCCCCGGAAGCGGTTCAAACTACCCATCCTATGATCACTCGTTGGACAGGTATTTCCTATGCTTTCAAATGATACCCATTTGTATGTATTAGCTTTGTAGAACCGGATAAATTTTGTAACTGAACTTTCAGGTGAAATAACCGAATTAACCTGCTGGAATCAGGTCAAAAATACCTATTTATTTCCAGCTACCGGATCCAAAGCGGACATAATCATCACATTATTTTGAGGATTATAACCAAAAAAATGTCCTTCAATATTGCAATGACAAGGTACCCAGGTATTGCTCAAGTTTTCAAGACCCAGTCTACACCTTAGGACTGCATTTTTCTTTTTTATAGCTTTAAGAGCCTCTCTTCTATTTACATAACTAGACCTAGATTCAGATATTATAGTTTTAAC